GAAAAGGATAAACAGAACTAGACGTAAGCTTTTGTTGCTGGTTTTCCTAACAGGGGTTCTTTAAGATTTGCAACCACGTTAAATATCTTGTCGTGTTTGCGTGCCATTTTCGGTCCTTAGGTTTCCCGTTACAACGCCTGTCACGGACAGTTTTGCCTGACGAGAGCCAAATAGCTTTTTCGTAGCTTTTCGCAGCTTTTCCAAGCCAGTAAGTTTGTAAATCTCTTCAGAAAGTACGGTAACACCCGCGCCGGTGTCAGTTTTAAATTTAACAGGAGTGTGTCCCAGTGTCAACTCAACAGACCACTTTGTTTATTGTTCGTAGCTTTCAATTGAGCCAAGGAAGTAATCGTCTGAGCCTGAAACTTCTGAATCTTCTTCTTCAATGGAATGGACATTTCTTTTTATCGTTTTGTGTGCAACACGTATATTGTAAGCTTTTTTAGACGTTATTCTTGTTATCATATACGCACAGCATTGTTAAAAAGTAAAGAAAAGCACTGCGTTGTTGCCAGAAGGTGCTGGTGCTTATTTAACTTGATGGCTGCGCGGCTGCGCATGTTAACATTTTGTGCTGTTTTTATAGGTGTTGCACCTTTCTTCAGGGACGGCGCTTTTTGAGTAAACGTAACTCTTTGTCACAAAACTACAATCTCGAACAAAAGTATTTTGCAAAGGTTTCACAACCTTCAGCAGTTCATTTTAATGTTCAAAAAGATGGTTTTCCCTTTTGCTAAATATCTTCCTCTCCCCTCCCTGAATTCAAGGTTGCGAGAAATAAACATTACGGGAAAAAATACTCGAGTTTTGTAGGACATTGGGCCAGCGGGCCCGGCAAAAAAAGAAAAAGAGAGAGAGAAAAAAGTAGTCCTCTTCCCAACACTTTTGACTTAGCCTGAATTTCAGACGATTACTTCGAGTCTGAAATTCAGGCTTCTTTTAACTATTACTGTTACTCTCACCAGCCGACCCATGCATATAAACTGCTGTGCGTTAAAAGCTGGTTTTGCAGTTACATGTAAATGACGTCTGCTATTCTGTATTTATTATAGAACCGGAACAGATGCTCAACCTACGAGGAATTCATAAACATCTTTCACAGGTGCGGAATCACTGTCTACTGTAGTATGATCAGTGTCGTTTTTGTCAATTTAATGCAGTTTAAACGTCACTTACCAGTTGCAGTGTACACCTGCTGTTTTATATAGAAACTTAAGGTTACTGCATTTTTAGTACGGCCTGACTCGGAATTTAGTTAAACCACTTAATAGTTAGTAATGGTTCCTCTGCTTTCTCTGTCTATGGATAAACTCATAGAGAGGAAGGAATGGAACTTAACGCAGTGTCATCGGTTGTATCTTCAACTAAAAGCAAGTGTTGGTGTCATTCGTTTCCATGCAATCATTGTTAATGAAAGTTTGATGCGTCTGTTAAAGAATTTGATCGAGCCATTCCTAAGGTATTTGGAAAAGCGTCAAAAATCTGTTGACTGGGGTGGTAGCAGCAGAGGCTACAACGAATTCCACACCTCTTAAGTGAAGAAATTTGCCTCGCTACAATCTCGTCAACTAACGTAGAATGGAACCCATAAGGCAGCGAAAGCGGCCAGTGGATAAGAACAGCACCGAAACAGTGATGTCTCACCAATACGGAGATCGTAACTTCCCTTGAAAATTGGTGTTAAAAGCTAGTGTTAACCCTCTCATTAGACGCTCAGCACACCCATTTCCGCATAGACGGGCTACCTTGCGGCTGAATCACGCAGTCGTATCACTCACAAAAGGTGAGCGTGCTTAAATGAGTGCTTTGCCAAATAGGCAGTTACTGCCCAGTTATTTCCGGAAAAGTTATCGTCAAGAGCCGGCGCAACATTCATGGGCTCTTTATGGTCAGCCATACGCTTGCATTTCGGTTAGGGAGCCACCAGTGCACATTTCCGTAATGATTTCAACATGCAACTCAAACACGGTAAAGCCCAGAGGCCTTTACCAGAGACTCATGGCTTTTACAGAGAATTACCTCCTTTGCGGCAACAGCATATAACACCATGACGCACTCCTCACTGAAGATGAAGAATTAACCCCTACTTTAGAAAACTTTATTTATATTATAACTTGGTTACGTTCCTGACCTCCCATAACTGGTAAAACAACGTTATGGAACTGAGCTCTGCAAGTGCAACTTCGCTTTGGAGTACATTTGTGCGTTAGTCCTGTAACAAAAGTAACGTTGGTTACCGCCTTGCCACCGCCTTTGCTGACGTAGGAAGATACAGCAAGCCTCAGCCGTCTCTTATGCCCCATGTTGATACCACTCTGCGCCAAATCGCTCAGTGGAAACACACATCACTACTAGTACCTTTTATAAAATTCCTGTAGCACTCGAGTCGAGGAAATACTTTGGTGTAGCCGCTCCGTTTCGTGGTTTCTGGGTGTATTTTCGTCCATCGATAGGTTTGCCAGGCTCATGTGTCGTGTACTTGCAAAATTGATGACTCTACATCGTGCTTTGCATCCGCAGGCTGATGTTGACAGGCTTTACTTTAACAGATCAGAGGGTGGAAGAGGATTAAATGAAGTTAAATTTATTTAACACAGTTAACAACAAGGATTGAGGGCGTGGTCAGCGGTCAGTCGTTTGGCTCAAGCGCAGTGAACCTTGCTTGCATCACCTCCATGTGCTTAGTACAACGTTTTCCTGGCGGCCACTCTCTTCGTTTAGCCTTTGGATCATTCTTTTACCGTTTGATTCTCGCTGTTTTGCTGTTCGGTCAAGCCGTTTCTTTCTTCGTTGTCTTCGGCTCCGCTTGGCTTTTGTGCAATCGTTGTTTCCTCGTAATTTGGGCCGACAATCTTGGCGGGACGTTCGTCTCTGCGTTCGGCGATGGTTTTTTTGCTCGGGTGTTTCGTCTGCAACTTAATGGTTCGAAAGTTGGACAACAGCTTGGCGGCGGTGTTTTCGCGAGACGGAGCGACTGTGGTTTTGCATTCACTCGCTCAGCGGTGCAGCGGTTCAAGAACGTAGCGGTCAAGCAGTCTACGAGCTTAGCGGGTCAAGCGGTTCACGAGCTTAGCAGTTAAGCGGTCCACAAGCTTAGCGGTCAAGCGGTTCACGAGCTTATCGGTGAAGCGGTCCTCGAGCTTAGCGGTGAAGCGGTCCACGAGCTTAAGTTTAGCGGGCATTCAGTGGTCAATTTCATAAGTGCAGGTTCACATGGTACGTGGTAGCTTTGTACACAGCTAGGATCTTCGAGTTGGTCGTTGAGCGTTTGTGTAGCGGTTGTTTAAGAGTAGCAGTCTCCGCCGGTCATCGGTCAAACTCACAACTCACATGGAACGTTGTTGCTTCCAGGAGTATCAAATTGAGCGGTTTTTGTGGCGATTGGGTTGGCGCGAAGCGGTGGGAAGCGGTTGTTTTAGGCTTCCCCCCCCCACCTACCCTTTATGTCTCCTTCCACTGATTCAACATGCTTCACTGTGACGGAACGAACGTTTTGTGGCGTTTACAGCGTTTGTGCTGTTTATGGAGTGTTTTGGTTGGACGTTTGTGGCGTTCACAGGGTTTGTAGCCTTTATGAGGCGTTCGAGCTGGTTGTTTTGTGGCATTTAGAGTGTTTGTCGCGTTTATGGAGCATTGGGGTTGGACCCTTGTGGCGTTTACAGCGTTTGTAGTGTTTATGGGGCGTTGGCGCTGTACGTTTGGCCCTTGGGTCTTGTTTAGCTTTTGTGTGTTTCTACATGTTCAGCGTACGTGGGTGCCTCCGTGTTTGGCGTATAGGGGCTCAGGCTTCTCCAAGGCATGAGCACCTTCTCTCCGAGCTTGGCGTTCAGCTCGAAGGTCCCTTCGGCTTGGCGTTGGGGGGCTCATGGCTGGAGGGCGCGGGTTGCCAGCCATGGGAGCGTAACTCTGTCTAAGGGCTGGCTGTGCCAAAAGTGGAAGCCCCTGGATATCCCGGGAACCCACCTCCAATAAGCGACGCATTTGTTAATAAGTGTTGAGGTTTCTGTAAAGAGTGAGATCAATAGTCTTAGCTGGTATGTTGAGAGTTGTAACGGCCCCCAGTTGGAGGCGGTGTACAAGGAAAATATTCTGAGATGTTATGCTTAAACTTGTTAAGCCGCATCATTACAGCAAGAAAGAAGAGAGCGCTTCCAAGAGAAACAAGTTCATGAGCAGTTTTAGAGTAAGAGATAAAAAGACGTGGAAGTGGCTGAAAAAGGCAGACTAAAGAAGGAGACGGAGGGTACGATTATTGCAGCACAAGACCAAGCACTAAGAACTAATAGTATCAAGAGGTTAATCGACAAGCAAAATGTGTCTGCAAAGTGTATAATTTGTGGAGAAGGCGATAAGACAGTTCTCCATATTGTATCGGAATGCAAGAAACTTGCCCAAAAGCAATCTCGATGTTGGAGGCACGACAAGGTGGCGCATTGGGAATTATGTGGAAGGCTGGGTTTTGACAGGGATGAAAAGTATTACTATCATGAGCCACAACCAGTGTATGAATATACTAAACAACAAGCTGCTGTCGGACTTCAAAATACGGACTGACAACAAGATTGAACGCAAAAAGCCTGATATTGTGGTGGTGGATAAGATAGAACGCAAATGTCTGATCATTGATGTTGCTTGTCCATTTGACATCCGAGTGAAACACAAAGAAAAGAGAAAATTGAGAACTACCAAGACTTAAAGCGGGAGTTAAAACGGATCTGGAAATTGCGCAGAATAGCTGTGGTGCCATTCATAATAATTTTGGTGCATTAGGAACTGTTTCGAAAGACATAGAAAAGAGGTTAGCAGAAATTGGTGTCACATGTCGTTTGGAATCATTGCAGAGAGCGTGCTTACTGGGTACAGCCAGAATTCTTCGCAAAGTCTTGGACACCTAAGGTCACCGGCGGCGACATGATGTTGAAGAAAGAAGCAAGTTATCCAGAAGCTGTGTTTAATGAGGATAATAATAATAAAGGCTGTCCATTATCTGGTCTAGCCCAATGTCAGACTACCACATAGTTGCTGCGTCGAACCAGTATGCTTTACCAGTTGTAACGTATTTCATGTGGACCCAGACTTGCCGACTTACAGCAGTTGGATAGAGAAGTGCGTAAAGTTATCGTGGAGAATGGTGGGAACCACCCCCTGGGATCTGTAGCACAACTCTACATTTCAAGAAAGAACGGTGGAAGAGTCATTAGATCAGTTGAAGCGGAGTATAAAAGCACGAAGATCAAAGCAGTTGTAAAGTTATTTGAGAACCCAGATACGACCATGAGCGCCGTGAGGAAGTTTGAAGAGAAGGCGGTGCAGACGAGGTGTCACTCATCATCAAAGATGCTGAAAAGTATTCCTCAGAGCTACACTTAACTCTGACTTTACAGCATCCTAATCTAAGGGCTACTACAGAGGATCTTGAAGAAATAGGAGGAAAAAAGCTTAAGACCCCTCTTGCCAAGGCACAGCAGAAAGATTGTTGTGACACACTGGGAGAAGAGGAATGTTTGTGGCTAGGGAAACTGACTGAAAATAGATGGGAGGACTCGGCCCTTGACAGTGGAGGGTGTTGAGCCCTAAACTCACATAATTTATTTGTACTTCGGACTCGAAGCTACAGTTTCCATATGCAGATCGCAGTAGTTGCTGAAAAAGAGTAAGTTGAACCAGTGTATGGATCCCTCTCTTTTTCTAGTAAAAGTTCACATAAGGTAATCATCCTGTGATGGAACTTCAGTTTACCGAAGCGTTGCTCGCCGTAATTACTCATGAATGCTAAAATGTTATTTCCATAGTGACATGATCACCGACATTTTTTAAACGATTGGCGTTTGTAGTGAGGCTCTTACTAGCAGATGTGATTTCACACTGTTTCAAACTTTTGAAAAAGAACTTAATTAAGAAAGAAATTGTAAAATTCCAATTCTGGTTATTCTCCTTGTTTTCTCTTACAGGAAACTGAAACACCTCCCTGTTTTGAAAACGATAGGAATGAAGGCAAGTTTTTTTAAATAACTCTCTGTTTATAATTTGTACCTGGGTTCTCTAAAAGTGGCGTGCTTTGCGTCTTAAATTACCTTGTATTATTTTGCTTAATCGTAACAATGAAGTTTGTAATCCAACCAGTTGACGTTGTGACGACCACAAAAACGTTGGCGTGCGCAGGCTGAAACTAATTATTCTAGAAGACGACTTAAAATAATCACCTGGGTACTTTCACTCGGGATATTATTATAATTATTATTATGATGATTATTATTGTCAGTTCGCACGGGTTTTCTTGGTTGTCCAACAAGATCATTCTCTGGTACCAGATGACCTCCCGTCACCTTAGTTATCCATCGGCTTTCTTATAATCCTTGCTCTTCCCAGTAAACAAGTTTTTTGTAATGGCTAAATACTTCCATTGAGTCCTACTTTCTTTAGATACAGATGAAATTTTTTACTGACTGTTTCGAAGAGGAACCAATGACGATCGGTATAAGTGCAACTTCTTTTCAATTCCACAGACGCTTCAGCTCTCTTTTTAAGTCTTGAAATTTTCGATTCTTCCTGTTCTTTAAGACTTACTCGATGGTCAAATGGGCAAGCAATATCCATTATTGTGCAGCTCCTTTCTATTTCTTCATGTCTACAACTACGATGTCTGGTCTGCTGTGTTCAATTTTGTGGTCAGTTTGAATAGGAAAATCCCATAGTAACTTGCATTCTTCTGATTCCTACACTGGCTTTGGCTCGTGATCATGCCAGTTTCGGGAGCAAACAAAACCAAACTTTTGACAAAGTCTCCAGTGAACACATTCACCAACCTGATCGTCTCTCCAGCCTTTGTATTCTTTCTGAGCCAATTTGTCTCACTCTGTCGCAATGTGCCTAATGGTTTCTTCCCGTTCTCGGCACATTCTACATAATGGGGATATTTCCTCTCCGTCAATTCTCTTTATTATACTGTTGGTTCTTAACACCTGATCCTAGGCAGCTGTTATGAGGCCTTCTGTTTCTTTCTTCAAAACGCCTTTTCTTAGCCAAAGCCAAGTGTCTGCGTTTCGATCCTGTTGAGTAGCTCTTTCGAACTGTCCATGTAGTTGTTTTACCTGATAATCACCTGTCCTTTTCCTTTCGATATTTTCCTTCAAGTTTTCTTCAGTTGACTCTTTTAGCACGCCCTCGCGTTTAAGAGCTTCAAGCAGAATCTCATTGCTTTGTGGATGTACTTTGCAAGACTGTCACATTCCAGTTCAACACAATCCTCCAGACTTATTAACCCCCTCCCGCCTTCCGCCCTTTCATATATAACCTGGATTGTCAACAACTTGCTAGTCTCCCTATCCATCTTTCTCAGTTCCTCCTTAGTCCAGTTGATAATCCCTGCTCCATAACGGATGATGGAGACCGCTCTTGAGTTACTATCCCTCATAACGTTTCCTCCTGATAATTTGGATTTCAGGATACTTCGCACTCTTGTGAAGTTTTCAGTGTGAATGTTCCCCTTTATTGCTTCATGCTTTATTTCATCTGCTTCCAATACCCCCAGATAATTGTAGGTTTCTCCTTCCTCTAGAGCTCTTATTTCTTGAGAAATCGGCAGACCTATTCCGTCCCTCTGACAAAGTTTCCCTCTTTTCACGACTAAAAGTGCACATTTTGATATCCCAAACTCCATTCCAATATCTTGACTGAGTATTCTCCCAGTCTGAGCAAGCTGGTCAAGCTCAGATTCTTTTTTTCCATAAAGTTTAATGCCATCCATGTACAGTAAGTGATTGATGACAGTACCTTCTCCAAGCTTAGACTTGTTTTAACAATATTGACAGAGGAATCAGGCCAATAATAAACAGTGACGAGGACAAACAGCTACCTTCAAATATCCGTCTTCTGATGTTTACCTCCTCTAATCTTTGGTCTCCTGAGTGTAATTCCGTTTTCCAATGATTCATACTAATCTCCAACATTTTCTGATATTCGTTGCGATTCCAAACAGCTCAGGACATTCCAATATCCATGAGTGTGGTATCATGTTAAACGCTTTGTTAGAGGAAATCCATGCCATACTTAAATTTGTCTGTCTCCGTTAGCAATTTTTTATGAATGCCTTATCAATAAGTAGTTGATCTTTTGTTCCCCTGGATTTTCGTTTACATCGTTCTTTCGGGTGGTAAAAAGTTCAATCTCTCCAGGTGACTACATTTTTCATCGGTAATTACTCCTGCGAACACTTTCCAGAGCAGTGGCAGACAGGTTCTTGGTCTATAGTAAGAAACTGTTGGACCTTTGTCCCTGTCGTTCATGATTAGTGTTGTTCTCTCCATATTCATCCATTATGGTCAATGTTTTGTTGTAGGCAATCATCAAGCTGTTTGGCAATTCTCCCTGTTAGAGGTGCAAAGTTTTTAAGCCAGTGCCCTTGAACCCTATCAGTGCCAGGTGCTTTCTAGTTGGACGTTTTGTTTAACTGAACTCGTATGTTTTACGGGGTGATTGAAATAGATGCCTTATTATCCACCTCCCCGAGTTGCTCCTTCAGCTGTGATAACCAATCAGCATACTTGTTGTGTTCTTTGGTTTCACCCCATATACTGCTCCAAAACGTTACACTTTCATTGGCGCCTGGTGCGGGGTCTTTTCCTCTAACTTTCCGTCAAGCTCCTCAAACAAACGCGTTTGATCACTGTCAAACAGCCTGTTCTGCCAGAATTGTTTTACCCTATTTTCATATCGCCTTCTCTTTGCAGCTTTTGCAGTAACTCTTTGCTTTAACTCTTCTAAGAAGACTTGGAAGCCCTTTTCCTTGGTCTTGTACTTATGATCTAGTGTTACTTGAACTCTCCGCTTAATAGGTTCCTTCCTTAAGATACAATTCAGCCTGCTAATGTCTCTTCTGCGTTCATCAATCTGTTTCTTTTGCCTTTGTTTCCACGGTGGTTCTTCCACGGTGGTTCGTTTGTTCTTCCTTTCTTTATGCCCAACGATCTCCCAACAACAAACGCACCTGCCCTTATCAGATTGTTTGTTTCAGTAATGTCCTTTGTTGTAATATGACTCAAAACCTTACTTACATTTACCTTCTGACCTTTCTGCTTAACTTTTCGCACCTACGCAAGTTGTATAGTTTTGTATTACTCCCCTGTTCAAAGTCTTCCAGTATTTCAAATGCCAGATTGATGTACTCATCATGTAGTCCATCTATATGCATTCTTGATCTGGTAGATTCGGCAATTCTGTTTTCATTCTCACTCGGTTAAGCATCTTTAAACTCAGGTTGTAACGAGCTTTAGTGATCTGTAATGTCTGCATGATTCTCTGGAGTAACTTCCGTCTTTTGCCCACTTGATGCACCACATTTCTAGTTCAGAAAATCCAGTAACTTGCCCTCACCTGGTTGGCAAGCCTTTGCTCACTACACTTGAATAGAGCAATGTAGTTTCTCCAGTTATTTAACATACGCTTCCTGTACCCTCTTCTAGATGGTTTACTTCTCAAGTAGCATTCCATCACAAACTTGTTCACTTCCCTCGTCCATGAAACTCTTACGTTCATTCCTTTTGTACCCTGATTCTTCTGGTCATCCTAGGACCGTTACTTCCCTGATCAGAGCCTGTGGTCTCTTTATCAGGGAGGTTATCCGATTGTATGCTAGTAGCTAACTTTTCAATCTTGGACTGGCCACAGACCACCGAGGGACCCCCTCCTTGGTAACCCGCACGAGGAGGGTGGTTGCCATTTCATACTGTCAGGGTTCCCATTTAGTCGCCTTTTACGACACGCAAGGAAAGACGTCATGCGTATTCTAATGCCCAAACTTGCAGGGCATATTATTATTATTATTATGATTATGATTATGATTATGATTATGATTATTATCATATTATTATCGCTCTCATGCCGTCCCTTACTTTCTTCACTCTAATATTATGCCTATTACAATGCTCTATTTTAAGCTTTCTTCGATGTTAATGTTTGATGTTTACAATAACACTGCCCCTCATAATATTTCACATCTCTTTATTCCTACTCAACAAATCCACTCTTACAGCACTCGCTCCTCCTCTTCTGGAAATTATTACATTAGCCACTCTAGACTAAATCAGAAAAATGATTCGTTTTCTATTATGGGAGCCAAAATTTGGAATAGTATACCTGAAAATTTACGAAATTCTTCAAGATCTCTCTTTAAGGAAAAAGTTCATACAATTCTGTTGAAAATATTTGAAGTTCAGGATAGATATGCTGACCTAAACACGATAATCTCCGATTTTAAAAAATATTAGCCCCCGCTTATCTAAATAGCTGCCTCGATTTTCTTATCTCAATTTCTCTCGTGACTGACCTTTTTTATTATAAATATGGTACTTTTTCACTTCAACTATTCGTAATAAATCTTAAGCCGTCTACACACCACCTGCCTCGATTAGCCTTGCTATTTGCAGGTGGTGTGATATTTGTATATTCAATGTAAGAAATAAAGATGTTGTTGTTGTTGTTGTTGTTAATTATTGTTATTATTATTATCACCGTATTACTGTTGTTATTATTATTATTTCTCTTCATAACAGTGCTATGCCGCGTAGACACTTAAAACCAACACTTCGTCTGAAAACCATAAAGCGTGTATTCAAATGTTGTGGAGTAAACAAAGATGAAATTGCCAAATGGTTAACATTTGTCGCCCAAAAGACTTTGTATACTAGGGGTGGATGGGAATTTTAGATGGTATCAAAATCTCGAAAAAAGAACTAGTGCGTGTGGAATAGCCAAGTACAATTCCAATACGCACGACGTAAAGTCGTCCAAACGGTGAAAAAAATGTTGTGTAAAACAAAAACGGATACGTGTAGACCGAGTGTTAAAGAAGGTTTCAAATAAAAGCTGCGAAAATTTGCGTTCCCAGAAGGGTAGAGTCGTAGTAGTTTTCTGAGCAGCTTTTCGCCAAATGTTATGCATCATGCTGTAGAAAGTTTGAACGGGTTTGTTCAATCACGGATCAATCATGTTGCTCCAACATGGAGTCGCGCCTCTTTAAACAAGCCTTACCTTCGTGAGAATGATCCCTTGCTATTAAGTTGTTAACAAAGTCATAGCAATAAGTTTTTCGTAGCTGTAATCTGGGTCTCATTCTTTCATGACTGTACATAAATGCTGCTGCTGTAATCTGGTTCTCATTTTTTTTTACCTCTTTCTTCGTCTACTCAAGCGTGGCATTGTAACCCTGCTGCATCATTTGCATCACAGTCCAGTTTTCTGTTGGCGCAAAATGTAACTGCAACCTCGACATTTCCCAAAGGGGATGCAGCTCGGCATCTCATGGCGGATGGTGGTGCTCCATCAGTGTCCTGTGTTGGGCAGTCCAGTGTTAGCCAAGAGGGTCAAATGCAGTTTTCTGGAGAGTGCACCAGTACACAAAGTACTATGCTTGAGTCGAATGATTACCAATCTATTCACGGAGCAGGTAAGGACCGAGACCCTACCAATGTATGTGTACAATTGCATCCTTTAAAAATTAATATAATTATCTGATTCCTAGTGTTATAGTGCAAGATATTAGTAAAGTCGCTGCATTGGCATCTCCGTCGGTTTTCTATCAGCACAAAATATATGTGCAACCTCTACAATTCTATAATTGTGCTGCTAGTCCTACAAATCTTCTGTTGCAAATCCCGCATTCCGACTGCCTGAGGTTCTCCCTACCTTTTATCATGAAGAGATGAGAACGAGTGGGGAAACTGGTCAGCTATCAGCCTATATGGTAATAAATTGTTGTATTTCGCGTGGTGCAGTGCAAGAGATAAATTTATTTTTCAATTGTTTTAAATCGTTGTGGTGGGTTATTTGTGTGGTGTAATAAAAACTAAGGTGAAGGAGCAAATTCAGCGGCCAGTTCGATGCCACTTACTTGTAAAGTGTTGTGAAGGGCTTTTTTTAATGTACTTGTACATGCATCACCCAAGATTTGGCTCTTTATTAAACTGGTTCGTCTTTATTTTTACAACAATTTTCAGTTAGAGGGTTAAGAAACACTCGTGGTGTAGAAAGACTCATAGCCAATGTACTCTTGTATCGTGATCTCCCACTAAAGAATCAAATGACCCGAGTTTGTAGCAAAATAGTAAATTTCGTGGCATTTCCTTTACTTGTAAGCGGTAAACACTTCTGAGCTTTTTGGGACGAGTTCCTTGCCTTTATTAATTTACTCTTATTTCTCCCGTTTCAGCACTAGACGGAAACAATCCTGATTATCAGTATGATCCAATGGATGCACTCAACTTGTACGATTTAAAAGGCTTAGATTTTTTTGACATGGATAAGGAGTCCCCCTTCGATTTGAAGGTATAATCAATTATCCTGACATGGCATAGGTTTAAGTTGTAAGTAGGTGTCGTTCGGGGGCGTGTAGTCATGAATAGGACTGTCGTTAACAGTAACTGAGTTGTATAGCGTCAGTGGATAGTATTAATTTTTATTTTTGAATTGATTGGTGGTAATGTTAATTAAGCGTTGTTGTTATTTGCCGTTAGCCCGAGAAGACTCTAAACGTTCGTGGTTCGTTTCGATCCGTCTTTTTTCATTGTAATATCCCGGTTGTCGCTGTACTGTGGGCCATATTTGTTTGAGATCGTCAGTAAGTCGTTTGTATGGTGCCGGTAACTGCTGACTGAACAGTTCATATGCGTTTCTTCTTCCAACGTAAGCAAACCAGTCGTTGGTTGTAGTCAGTAGAGTACCTGTACGTAATTCATTCAGCAGAGTTCTAGT